TACCACTACCACTACCACCACCACTAGTACAACCACCAATACACGACTACGACGACTACTGCTACTACTGCTACTTTTCCTACCACTACTTTTCAAGCTTGGTTCCGGCTGGCAAGATGTCGATCACACTCAAAGTTGGACTGATCAGCGGCAGGAGTGCCACTTTGAAAGCACACATGGAAGAAGAGGTTCGATCTGTAATCCTGAGAGCGCAGACCGCACTTGGTGTTGGGAAAGGGCGACTTGTAGATTCATCCGGAAGCGTTCTGGATGCATTGTCGACGATCAAGGATATCGAGCTTCAGGATGGTGACTCATTGACCTTGCACATTCGCAGAATTCAGATTCAGGCATGCCGCGGCGGCGGTGCATTTGCTGCCATCCTTGGCGACGGATCCGTTGTGACATGGGGTCGTGCTAACCGCGGTGGTGATAGCAATGCTGTGCAGGATCGGCTGACGAATGTGCATCAGATCCAAGCCTCCAATGCCGCGTTTGCTGCAATCCTTGGTGATGGATCTGTCGTGACCTGGGGCGATTCACGCGCTGGTGGTGACAGTCTAGCTGTGGAGCATCAGCTGAAGAATGTGCAGCAGATTCAATCGTCGAATCGGTCTTTTGCTGCCATTCTTGAGGATGGATATGTCCTGACTTGGGGTGATCCTGATATGGGAGGTGACAGTGGTACTGTGCAGCATCAGCTGCAACATATTCGACAGATCCAAGCGACAGGGGGTGCTTTTGCCGCACTTCGCGATGATGGTTCTGTCGTGACTTGGGGTTATTTTGATGCTGGTGGTGACAGCAGCACTGTGAAGGGTCAGTTAAATAATGTGAAAGAGATCCAAGCTTCTATCCGTGCATTTGCTGCAGTTCTATTCGACGGATCGGTCGTAACCTGGGGTCTTGCAGAGTACGGTGGTGACAGTAGTCGTGTGCAGCATCTACTGAAAAAGGTACAGAGGATCCAGGCCTCGAGTCGATCTTTTGCAGCCATTCTTGACGATGGGTCTGTTGTGACCTGGGGTGTGGATGGTGATGGCGGTGACAGCAGTAGTGTCCAGGATCAGCTACATCATGTGCGGCAGATCCAAGCCTCTAATCGCGCTTTTGCTGCCATTCTTGGGGACGGATCCGTCTTGACCTGGGGAAGCGCAGCCTGTGGTGGTGACAGTAGTTCCGTGCAGGACCAGCTGCTGAATATACAACAGGTCCAAGCCTCTGGAGAAGCTTTTGCTGCCATTCGTGGCGATGGAGCGGTGGTGACCTGGGGCAGTGCAGTCTGTGGTGGTGACAGTAGTGCCGTGCAGCATCTGCTGAAGAATGTGCAGCATATGCAAGCCAATGAGTACGCTTTTGCTGCAATTCTCGGCGATGGATCTGTTGTGACCTGGGGTGGGGCTGAATTTGGTGGTGACAGTAGCACTGTGCAGCCTCAGCTCACGAGTAGCAGCAGCGAGCAGGAGGTAGCGGCTAGAGCTGCCAAACTAGCTGTTGAGAAGAGCATCCTGGCAGCAACAGAACATGTTGCTTGACTTGAAGGTGTTTGCAGCCGGGCAGTACACACTCTGCACAAGCAGCAAGAAGAAAATTGTGTCAAACGGATAACGGCGGTCCGGCAGCATGACTGTCTGGGATCAAGAGCATGCTTTTGGTGATGTGGCATTAGAGGCTTTGGGTTTTTTTCGGTAGCTTGTTGTTGGACCTAGCTGTAGCCGCCGTGTGCGAGCGCGAGAGTCGAAACCCTAAAGGCATACAGGAACCTGTAGGCCTAAAAAGGTGGGAGTCCAACACGTAAAACACCAGACCCGAAGCCCGAAAACTTGTATTTAAATCACCGATGCCCTAAACTCTAAACCTTTCTGATGCATTTTTAAGAAGTACGGACACACTCGAGGCTGGATTTCCGTGAGCCCAGCTCTCAGAGTGGAGCTTGGGGCTTCGGTAAGCTGGTCACGGAGAGCAGTATGCCGCCGCTTGAATTCTGCGATGATTAAGCTGGTTGAAGTATGATATACGGTAAATCCGGTTCACATATTTGTGGCGTGGCCCCGCGAGATCCCAAATTCTGAAAAGCATCGCTCCATGATCCTAGAAGTTTGGCAGGCAAGAGTTCTTATCGCAGTTGATAGTAATCCTTGTGCTTCAGATTTCAGGTGCTTTGCTAGATCCAGCTGGTGCCTTGAAGCGTACGTCCTCGCTGAGGTTCCTTCGTCTCATGCGGTGGCATCGCGAGCTGGGGGCTGAGTATTTCTCCAGGAGAGGCAGCCTAGATTTAGGTGCCAGACCCTGGTGCTGGAGTGCTGAAGGGAGGGAGGGAGGGAGGGAGGGTTTTCTTTCTGGCGGGCCTAGCACGTCCTGTTCTTACTCGCGAGGACAAAACTCCAACCCAAAACCTCCCTGCGAGTATACAATAGTGAACAGACACAAACTCCATGTCTTATAACTCTGCCTACCTGGGACTCAAGGTGCTGATGATGCGTTTGTGAGTGTGGAGTGTGGAGGGATTCGTTTGTTTCACTGTCTGTCAATGCTAATACCCAAAGGGTCCAAGCATCATCTTGTACCCTCTTGGTGGTTTTTGGGCCCCAAAAGTATATACTATACTGTTATTTTGGACCCTGTGGATAGTGCCCCACAGGTCAGAGAAGGAGTGCTGAAATGGAATCCAGCTGTCTATTCGGATGCAGGTCCGAGCTCGACAACTACAAGCGCGTTTATACCGGCAGCAAGGCGCATCTTAGGCTTTTGCATGTCTGGCCTTCGGGTCTCATGACGTTCTAATTTAGAGTTTATAAGGCTATACTATGCCGGTTAGGCCGTAATAAGTTTTGTTTTTTGCTGCCTCGTTTGATTCTGATAGACCTTATAGCCTCTAGGCCACAAGGCCTCTTAAAGTCTGTGGCCATAGGAGTTTGGGAGCTTACCGGGGAAGATCCTCGACCAGTCGGCGCTCAATTACCTGCGATGCACCGCCGCGCAGCATAAAGAGGCTATGTTGTTCGCTCAAATAATGCTTGCGTGGGAGCCTTTCCGTTAAAGTCTGTTTTTTCGTGTTCGACAACGCTTAGTTGGGCTTCATGTGCTCATTAGCTGTCTGAGGTAGGCATGGGCTCGTGGAAACCGCAATGCACTCCCACTGAACTGCACTCCCCACACTCTTGAAGACTCTCCGAGCAAAGGCCGCAGAGGTTTGCTCGATGGGGCCCTAGACCCTCAAAGCTTGAGCCCTGAAGCCGATGCCATCTTAACCTAGACCCACGAACAAAGGATAGCAAACGCGAGAGCGCCCAAGCCCGAGGAACCCTAGCGTCTAAGTTGAATCCTTTTCAACCTCACCTGTGAGCATAGTTCTCTGCCATGCAAGATGGAAAACAAGTTGAATTCATTGAAGGGCGGCAGCTGCCTTAGCAGCCCGAGTATGTTGAGCTCCTGTGACTCTGTCGTTTGTTCAAAAACCCAGGAGTAAACTCACAAGGCATTGGTTGGGGTTCACAGCTGGGGTTTGCGAGGCTTTGAGGATTAAGACAGCGACGGGAGATTTGGCAATGCAGCTCAGGCACATACAGCTGTGAACCCTGAGCTCTGGTCAGGTCTCTGTTGATGATGCCGAAGGCGACAATGGCAGTTCAATACGTCCAAGATGCATGTGCTGTTCTTTCTGCTGACACACAGATTGGTTTCGGGGAATAGAAGAGCAAGCCTGCGCATCGATTCGTCATGAAAGTAGGACCTGTGAGCAAAACGCTCGAAGGGTCCTTCCAGTCCTTCGCCCCGATGTTGTCTTGAACTTGAAAGCACCAGCCATACAAGCATTATGGCAAGCCTTCGTGAACATGTAGCAATGTAGCATACGGCTCCCCTCGATTACCCGGAAATGCTGGGTGTGAGAGCCGAAGGCATTCCCTCCGGGAAGCTCGCCAAGGCTATTGAGGAGCAGCAAGGGTCGTTGGGATTCGTGTGTCAGCACCCACCTAATCACTAACTGTCTTCATCGGCATCGTCGTTTGTAGATGCAGCAATAGACACTATGTGACGATGCACACGTACGATACATACACACATGTACACGCATGCACACAGACGCAATTATAGACACACACACACGTTTTGCAATGTGCAAAGTGTATGCATGTCGTTGCATGTCAGCATGTCACCTTGTCTTTTCTTGTGTTCATGCTGTTGTTATTATTTTTTTGCTGGCGTCAGCAACGTACATCGAAATTTCCGCCGCTTCAACGCAGGGCCATGTGACGGCAACGTGCTGTTTGTGTGGCCTGCGTGGGACGAAAGGCATATCAGTTTTTGGGAACATGCGTTTTGACTCTGGTTTATCTAGGTTTTAAAGCATGTTGCTTTCGGTGGAAGCGGCGAAAATTCCCACATGCATTTCACGTGGCCCGCCTGGGACAAACCCACTTGATGTATGCAAGTGGTCTCCTTTCCCGTTGCTATGTTTTTTCCCGGGAACCCGCTTTTGCAAGACCGGAATTTGTGTGTAACTCTTGGAAAAGCGCATTTTTAGTTTGCGTTTGCCGTTTGGATTGGCCTGAATCGGACGAACGGCATTTTCTGCAAGAGAAAGATGAGCAGGAGGATTACGGTTATGACAATGGTAAGGCTGACAAGGTTCTGATGATGAAGAGCCATGGACGTCATCATGGTCGGGCCATGGAAGTAGTGCAAGCAAAATAAACACACAAATATCCGCAAATACCAAGGGTTTCGGCAGGTGCAGAATTCGTGAACTTGGAGGTGCCGGGAACACCGACGGTACCGATATATTCGGCTCATGAAGCAGAGGAAGCACCGTAAACACAGGTGGAATCGGCATGTCGGTTTTGCGCGGTGATATGGGATCGAGGCAACAACGTTGTCGTTGTCGTTGTCGTTGTCGTCGTCGTCGTTGTTGCTGTTGTTGTTGCTGTTGCTGTTGCTGTCACTGTTGTGGTGGTTGTCGTTGCCGTTGTGGTTGTTGTTGTTGTCGTCGTCGTCGTCGTTGTCGTCGTCGTCGTCATTGTCGTCCTGGTCGGTGTCGTTTTCGTTGTTGTTGATGTTGTTGTTGCTGCTGCTGTTGGTGTTGGT